CCGGCGGGGCCCGAATTTTTAACTTGTGTTGGGCAAGGCCGTGGCCTAGGCAACACGGAGTTTTCCTCATTGGCATCCCAACAATTACTCCATTCACACACAGAAGAAGGCAATGGCACACCACTTCTGGATCATCTGCCAAGAACGTATATGAACAGGTCCCAGTCCGAGAAAAGGATGGAAGGATCCTGTTCATATGGACCTGTCGTCAGACAGAACACTAAATAAAAAATAAATCCACACAGGAAGATTGTAATTAAGAATATGAGCTGTTATCAGCACTTAAAAAAAAATACATGCGAAAACGAATGACTAATTATCAACCGTTATTTCGGCACGGGTAAAGCCAAGTCCGTCCGTCCGCGTGTTTATCGCCAAAAGTACTTCGTGGATTTCTATCGGGTTTATTATTAAGGACTTACATTAAAGTGTGTGGAGCTAATTAATTTTTTTTTTAATTTTGTATCTGTCCGATATTATCCTTGCCCTACATGTAACTCGAATATAACTTTATCAGCTTCACGAAAAATTATTCATTATACCAAAGTCTTATACGTGGTGTAAAATACGAATATAATTAATTTTTATATAATTAATAAAGGGACCTTTTGTTGCGTGGGGCGGTGATAGATGGTTGTGGGGCAGTTGGGCGATGATTTGTGGAGATACTTGAAGGACTAGGAGAGAATCCTACTCCAGCGGCACTTCGCCCCTCACGAATCTGACTTAGAGTCGCCCAGAACTGAACCCTAGACTTCATAGTAAGAAGCCGGGATCCAGCGACATGAACTTTGCTGATTTGATGTTATAAATGTATTCTAATGGGAAAACTTCTATCTGATGTCTATTTAAGGTGTTCTTGGAGTATTAAACGTTGGAATCCACACCCCTTTGAAGCAAAAAGTTAATCTGAAGAACACTTAAAAATGTTGTTCTAGCCTCAAGAAAAACGCGGTACGTTTCCAATACGAAGATAAGTTGGTTTCTGTTAAGTAATTAAATGTTCTTTACTATGAGAATATTAAGAATCAGTTAACTCGTAAATTCATAGTTAATGAATGTTAAAGTAGACTGTACTGAGACAGAGTTGTAGTATCTTAAGGACGATAATAGCTCGAAGCAATGCGTCCCGCTCTGTTCACAAACACTCCACTGCGGTCAGGGGTCATGGCTGTTAGCACTGCAATATTTGCTCAGGTGTAAGAGATTTCTTAAACGCTGCATAATAATTCTGCCATTTCCCGGCTCAGTTGATTGAAATACGAGGGACTGGACTGGACAGTTGTTGTAAGGATTTCACCATTAAAGACTTGAAGAATCATCCGTCAGAGGTGCGGAAGTTGTGGTTTGCAGTAACTTCAGCTGCACGTGAGTAGGACCCAAATACTCTTTGGATAATATTAAAAAAATACCAAGTGTTACGCGGGGTCTCAGTTTCTCGAGGTGGCGAGTATAAACATGGCTGTCTTCTGGGTTGTAGCGCCGTGTAGTCTGGTAGCTGTTTACAGACGTTACAGAGGCTCTTTCTGCCTCCATCATCAGGGCGACGACTCAATCTTCGCCTTGATGATGGCCCTGTGAGGTAGTAAGTCATGAGGTATGATGTTTGAAGGATTTGGTATTCTATTTATTAATTTTGTTTAGTTTTTCGTAATTCGACTTGATTTATTTGGTTTCGTTTTGGGTTTTTTTTTGTGGTCAGCGCTTCAGGAACATGTAGCAGATAGATTGGCGATGCAAACTTGTGCACAGGGCTGTTTCCAGCTCATCTGGAATTGCATCAGGACGACTAGGTACGTCACCATGGCAGCCATCAGCTGTAACAGAGCAATGTCATCTGTAGTAGGCGTTCTGCTGTTCAGACACCCTTCATTTACGGAGAAACACGATCCTAAAAATCATTGCCAATTTCGAATATGCAATATTCTAAATATGTAATAGACAATTTTTCATTCATTATTTCACATAAAAATGAACGTACTTATAAACACATGGCTATGATGTAAAGTATATTCTCCAAGGGCAATGTCCAGTCCATGAACAGACGTGGCAAGATTATTGAGGCAATTTGCGGCTACAAAAATGTGTCCTTACCGATGCTATGAGTCCTCTGTTCACTTCCACAAATCTGCAGAATGTAATTTTAGGTGAATTTGTAGCAATCGCTTGTAGGAACAGTGTTATCTGTGACAAAAAACGTGTGCACTGTGAAGCAAAACTTCAACATTGCAAATTTGGTATTTTGGTACGAATGTAGTTTATATGCAGGTTTACCAACCTCGTATCTAGTTTCACTCCAGCTGTGTGGAAATTCGTCACACAGTGTTTGTAATTTTATTTGGAAGGCCTCACCAACCTGGAAAGAAATGTGTTAATACAAATGCTAGCAGACCATCACAAACATTTCTCGCCTGTTCTATGTTAAGAAAATTTCACTAATTTCACTTTGAATTTTGATAAATATCACGCGACGGTGACAGAATGAAAGATAAATTCCTACAATTCCTAATAAAAAGTTAGGATCACCCTGCTCCATGTCAGTCAGGCACTAAGTTATACATTATATTACAGTTTACCAACTAATGAACTCAGTGGTTCGGGGCATTGCTTCGAAATTTAATAGTCGCTCAGCTGTTCAAGAATTTCCTTCACCTTTTATGGGACCCCAAGTTTAATTACGATATTCGTTAGAATCCGCCAATATTTCACATCCTCTAAACGACGTTTCGGAGGTCCTTACTGCCTCCATCATCAGGGTGTTAAAAACGCCCCGATAATGGGGGCAGTAATCACGTCTGAAACGTGGGTAAACCTGAAAAACATAAATATCAAACCACGAGTCCTATTTCCGTTCCGCTGCGCGAACTTCGCCTGTTGTGGACCCACCTGCTCAGTAGCCAGTTGCCCGGCGTCACAAATGACAAATATGGCGTACGTGAACATGATGGCGCTGACGGCGAAGGTTGAGTTGACAACGTCGAAGCCGCGACCCATCTCAGAGAGGATCCCGTAGACGGCGAGCACCTGCTGGACGAAGAAGACCAGGAGGTTGCAGGCGTAGCTGTACCCGAGCGACGTCCCGAACTCCTGGGTCAGCAGACTGAGCTTTACCCACAGGGACTTGAAGCGGCGCACGTGGTCTGCGCAGTGGTACATGCGCACACGCACGCACTGAAAAACAAGTCCGACTGATTGATATTCGACGTCGTAGTCGACTGGTTAGCACTCCCGGGTTCAAAGTTCAAAAGACTGTACAAAAAGCAAGCGTCGATTACGGACGGACAGGGTTTCTCACCAGCTGTAGCTCCGTTATGACGCGTTCCGCGGCCAGCTCAAGCGCTCTGCCCATTGTACCCCAGGTTCCCGTCGTGATGACGCTTAGGCACACGCAGTACGCGAAACACAGACCCTGCCACCAGGTGAAGCCTCGCTGCATGACGAACAGGAGCGTCGTCAGAACGGTCACGATGACAGCCACCGACGCTTTCACCTTCCGTATCGCCCTGGTCAGGTCGAGCGACAACGGCTTTCCGGTCACGTCACGGAAGTTCGTCTGAAAACAAGCACCGGACCCTAACCTAACCTAAAGTAAACTAACCTAACCC